GAAGATGAACTAAAGCTGTTCTTTGATAGTTTTAGTCAAGGTTGTAACTATAATACATGTTTTTCAGGCATGTCCTTGTATTACTCTCAAGTACGAAAAGCTGTAGACAACATTTTAAGGCACCTGGATAAAGAAGTAGGACGGTGTATGATGCTAACCAATGTCCAGATGTTAAACAAAGAACCCGAAGACATGATCACGTGAGTACAGTGAGGCTGTTATCAATGAGGGATTGATCAACCAGGYGTGGTGACACACCAGTGATCCTAGTGACTCGGGAGGCTGACACAGAGGATCACAAGTTCAAGGCCAACCTAGGCAACTTAGGGAGACCCTCTTTCGAAACAAAACAGTAAAAAGTGCTGGGATGCAGCTCAGTGGTAGAGCACTTGCCTAGTATGCCCGAAGCCCTGGGATCCATCCCCATCACTACAGAAGAGAAAAAGGAAAAAAAAAAAAAAAAGACCAATTAATGAAGCAAAAGATAGAGGTAGATATTCTTTCTTTCTTTCTTTTTTTCTTTCTTCTTTCTTTTTTTTTTTTTTTTATTCTCACTTCCTAGAATCAGGGATGTAAGAAGTGCCAAGGGTAGTTTAAACAAATAAATAAATAAATAAAAATACTTTGACATTGCCCAGCATACAGAAGGCCTAGCGTTCAATTCCCAGTCCCACCCCCAAATCTTTTTTCTGATATTCAACTGACCATAAAATGAAGTCAAACTGCAGTTGATCCATTTGGGTTATATTTTGAGTACCATTAAGCCGGCAAGTTAGAATATGAGACACCTGAACCATTTATTGGTCCACATTTTTCAGAAGTGACCTTTTGTTAAAAAAAAAAAAAGAAGAAGAAGGTGATCTTTTGTTCCCAAGCTCTACCATATCACCTGTGATTCAATGACATCCCAACTTACACACATCCCACTTTATAAATCTCAAATTAATTTGTTTCCAATGGAAATTCCTGCTTAATAGTTTCAGTGAAACTGTGCCATAGATTTTAAGAAAGCATTTATAGTACTAAATGTAGAACTCAAATGTTCTTTGTCAAAATCAAAAGCTGCGTTTGTGTTTGAGCTCGGCGGAGGAGACCTGTACAACTCACATTTGCTATTTTTCACTAATTTCAATAAGAATTAAGATTTGGTTCTAATTCTACATTTTTTWAAAAAAAATTGAGACTTTGTCATTGAACTATGAATTAGATTTTATTTGGCAGCTGTGGTGTAAATTCCTAAAAACACAACTAGGAAGATTTCCTCTATTTCCCAGCATAACCAGCCTCAGATATCAGAATTAATCTGAAATTGTTACCTTTATAGAGAAGGTCATATTGTATGAATTTTATCACATTGATAGTAAATGCTCAAGATTAAAACAGTTGAAGTACAGAATTATTTTAAGTATATATTTAGTAGCATCTAAAATGAAAAGCCTCCTCCTAGGTATTTCCCACTTGAAATCAAATCTGTGACCATCCCTTAGCTTCATGTGATTCATTCTAGAACTCTCCCTGTAATAAATGTACTATATGGAAATACCAATGCGCTTCAACTTATGGTGGGGTCACATCCCAATGAGTTTATTCTAAGTTGAAAATGTTATACGTTGAACATGCATGTACTACCCCTACCCTACCCAGCAGCCTGTCTCAGCAGCACTGTGCCCTGGAGAGTATCAGTTGCTCTCCTTATGATCTCAGAGCCAGCTGGGAACTGCCCAGCATTGCAAGAGAGAATCACTTGTCACTAGCCCTGGAAAAGATCCAAATTCAAAGTTTCAAGTATTTTCTACTGAATGTAACTCACTTTCACACTGTGGTAAAGTCAAAAATTACTAAACTGGGGAACATCTGTACTTTKTTCTTTCTTTCTTTCATTTTTTTTTGTAAAAACAGAATTATACAATGCATATTACCCTATAGCTTGCCAAACATTTGATTAAACCACGTAGAGGACATACCACTATAGACTTTTCAATCAAAATAATAACAGAATTGAGATTGAACAAGACTGATAACATTAAAAATACTTCTTTAGCTTTTTAATTCTTGCCTCATAAGTTAACAGATTATCCATAAGCCTTTAACCTCATTATTCCATATTCCTTGAATACTTTAAAGATATTTTTTATTTATCCTGTAGAAAACATAAGAAATACTTTAAAAATTTCTTCCATATAGTTGTTTCCTATTTAAAATATTAAAGAATTAAAGAGCTTTAAAGGAAAATCATAGTTATATTCAGGAAACATCAGAAGGTAGATTCAAGACCAAAACAATATATTCAAACATGTATAAGCTTAAATATAAATACAAATATTCTACTTAAGTTTTAACTAATGCCTCACATTTTTTTCTAGATTCTTCTTTTTCCTATTCATCCATTTTAAGATTCCCCCAAATAAGACTAGGAATAGTTTTCATGTTAGACTTTAAAGTAGATCCCAGAGTGGAAAATCACTCATTGCTTCATTTCTTAAAAAGAACAAGGAGAAATGTTAGGGAATCATATAAGCATTTAGGGGAAGAGGGTGGAGACCACAGAGTACTAATGGGAACAGTCATCTGAACTGGTATTTGAGGTTGTCCACCATGTTCCCAGGCCCTGGTTTAAGGTTTGAACTTGAACATTGAGTATTTTGTATTACTCAATCACCATTCTTCATTTCTTTTGTGGCTAATAAAAGTAAGAAAGAAAATAACAAAGGTTAAAAAATAGTAATTTTAACATCTGTTAGAAAATATTCTTAATTGTGTTATTTTGGGAATTCACATGGCTTCCCATAAAAAACCCAGAGACAGCAAAGACAGCAATAGTAAGAGGAAATCATGCACCAATTAATTCCTAATCTAGGCTGGATTTATCAGCTTGGAAGTCTGGCAGGGTTCGCCTTACACTTCAGGCCAGGCGGGGTCATCTCTTTTCCAGCAGATATGAATATAATCCCAGCTGTTTACAACATCTGGTGAGCAAGCTAGAAGAACTGTTTAAACTGTTGAGACCGCTCACAGCTATTGTGGGTGTCATCCAAAGACATCTCTCTCCTTCGGCTGATTAGAAACCACAGTGCACCAGCTTCCTCTCTGAAACCCTCATTTATCTGATGCCAGAGGTCCAAGGAAAAAGAGAGAAAAAAAATATCTTACGATCTTCTACAAAAGCAGAATATTTTAGAAGTCAGAGTATATATCTTGCTTTTCATATGAACAGTTTTGCATTTATCCTTCACTTAACAAAAGCATTCTAAAAAGTAAGGTCACAGCTCAGGATTGCTATTAGATGATGATCAGATTTGGGAATCCTCCTTGCAAACACTTGTTGCTCTTCTATTCTGGCCACCATTACTGTTCCCAAAAGTGATTACTTCTGTGCCACTTCACATTTTCATTATTGTGTCTGTGTCCTATTACTGCTTTAACTTTGTAACCAATTTTATATTTATTCTCAGAATGACTAAATCATCAGAATATGGATATGCTGTTACATATTCTCACTTAGGTTATTTGAAATATCTGATGAATAGTTTAATTTCTTATAAAAGTTATCAATTAAGTGGTTAAGAATCAAATAGTTACCTATTAAAATATCTAAAACTTGAAATAACATATTACAAAATTCAGTTATTCCTCTGAATCTACGGGAAATTTTTTTCAGGATTTCCCAATTGTTTCCCAATTGTTTGGTATATCCAAAATCCTGGAAATATATGCATTTTCAGAGATAGGCATTCATTAAGTCCCTTGTATAAAATGGCATAATATTTGCATATAACATAACCTATGCATTTCCCCCCATATTAAGCCTTCTGTAGGTTACTTATAACACTTAAAACTATGCAAATGCTATGGAAATAGTTGTAACACTGTTTTGTTTAAGGAATAATGACAGGGGTGGGGGAGGCTGTATATGTTCAATACAGGCACATTTTTCCTTAAATATTTTCAATCCATGGTTGGTTGAATCCATGGGAGTGGATCCCATAAGTATTGGGTGCTGACTGTATACATTTTTGCTTTCTGTGTGCTAACAACACAGAAGACATTATAACCTTTAAACACTAATATCTTCATGAGAGTAACTAAAAAGAGAGGTCTCTATTCTATAGAGATTACTATAAGAAGTCAGAAATGTATATATAGGATTTTACCTGTTGTCATGAAAGACTTAGTTTGGAAACGGGGCTAAGTGGTCTAGAGAAGCATGGCACATCAGGGAAAGAAGCTTCCAGATGTCACACTTGTAAAAGGGGCTGTTTTGCATATATTAAAATCCCATTTATTAATGTTAAATGGAGGAACGACTATAATATATTTCTTCGTGCTGACACAGTTAAGCATTTCTGTAATTCTAGTGTTTTAAATGCAGGCCACCGAGACCAAATAGATCCCAACTAAATGGCAAGCCTATGATAAAATGCTCTTGATAGGAAGGGCAGCAGAATAAAATAGACACTAGTATTGCTGTAGGTATATACGTGTCTGTATAACCAATGTGATTCTGCAACCTGTACACTTGGAAAAATGAGAAATTATACCCCATTTGATTCAAAGGTATGATATGTCAAGATCATTGTATTGTCATGAGCAACTAACAAAAAAAAAATAAAATAAAATAATAAATAAAATGAAAAGTAAAAAAATAAAATAAAATGCTCTTGATAGTCAGCATTTGCAGAGATATGTAATTCTGTGCTACATTTATATTTTTAAAAGTTTTATTAGAAATGGTCAAACTGTAAAGGGAATAAACAGAATACTGGAGCCAACACAAGCCTGTGATTCTGAGGCATGGATTAAGTTCCAGTCTTCATTCACACACTTAACAAATGGTTTTAAGAATTTTTCACGACCTTTTGACCTATATTTAAATTTTGTCTTCAAATGCTAGGGGTGAAAGAAAGCCCAAAATCGATCTTTTCAGGACCTGTGTTGCTGCTATTCCTCGACTGCTTCCTGATGGGATGTCAAAACTTGAACTTATTGACTTGTTGGCCAGGTAGGTGAGACATCATTTGACCAAAACTGATCTTAATCCTTTGTCATGGTTCCTAAAAGAAAAGAAGTCCATATTTAGAGTCAACAAAAGTTTATTGATTAAGGTATTACTTCTATGCATGGGCAGGAATGAGTAAAGAAATRTTGCTTAAATTATTATTATTCCCATATCCAAGGGCTTTAAAATTCAATTTAGATTGAATACATGAACGCGTAAGGTAAGCAGTAACCCAGGGCCTGGGAGTTYACAAATTAACAGCACAAAAAATGGATACCTGAGTCAGTGAGTAGCCAGGTTACTGTGCACTGAGGAAGTTGACAGGTGACTCTGGGAGAAGATGAAATTTGAACTGGCTTTGGAAAGGAAGTAGGATTCAGGAAGGTGAAGGAAGTGAGTCTGGCTGGAAAAGAGTCCATTCAGGTCTGACCCCTCCCCACCAGGGACCAAAATAGGAAGGTAATGGGGATCCTAAACTACTGTTAGTACTTCAGAAAGCTACCGAAAATCACTTTTACCAGCCTCCATAAGAATGCACAGTCCAAGTAGAACCTGAAGTTTATTTGCTGTGAGTGAAATTATCACGGTTCAGTAAGCTTAGTTATTTCCTATTGGTCTGCAGCTCTAGCTGACATTATGCATACCTTACATTTAAAAATCAGAAGTGACATGTAACCTAAAAGCAGGGTAGCAGGCAAAATCATGAGATTCATGGAGTGTAAGAAATGGGAATAAAGTCATCATTGGCTTAGAAATTAAAAAGAGTTGGGGGCAACCCAAAGATAAAAAGAAATATCAGTTTGGGGAGGTTAGATTTCCATTGAGTCTTAAGTATTAGTACTGGTATTTAGACAGATGAAGTTTTAAACAGAGGAATAAAAGGACTTTAGAATGTCATTTTAGGCTGGTTAATCTGATAATGGTGGAATAGAGGAGAGCTTAGGGAAGGATAACAAATATTAACGTTGACCCAGTGAGAGATGCCCCGTGCCTAGCCAAGGTTAGAACCTTCTGCCAATATCCTTCCCATCAGTATTCAAATTAATAATCCAAATTGCCACCGTCAGGTGACTACACCTCCCGAGGCTCTGAGCATCCCCTGGAGTCTCGTGTCTCAATTCCTGTGGTCATGGTCCTCTCCCAGGGATAGCCAGTCCAGCCTCTCGAGCTCACCTCTGCTCTCGTGGAATGGCTTTTGTAGCCTCCTGTCCTTCCTTTCCTCTTCCCAGCACCGGCAGCAGAACCTTCAGTGAAGGTTCCTGAGGACCCATAACCTTCAAAATCACAGCCTTGGGCCTTGGTGCTCGGTAACCAGGGCTTCTACCCGCCCAGCTGGTGTTTGTCACCTGTCATCACCTGTTCTTCCATTGTTTTTGTTTGTTTGTTTTGCTGTCACCAGCAACCTGGAGCCCAGGATCCCTCTCTTTTCCATTCCATGCTCAGGACCCACTTTAATGACATCAGGTTTTAAACAGTTGCACCTTCGGCCTGTCCCGACGAAGCCTTGCAATGGGAATGTGAGCCAAGAGCACATTCATGGGAAAGGGGGCAGGCAGAGGAGAGAGGAAAAACTAACCCCGGATGGAAGAGGGGTTTCCAGTTCTTGGTCACCCCAGAGGACCAGAGGGTGGATTTGCAAAGTATAGTAAACACAGTGATTTGGCAGGAAAACGGAGAACAGATTAAAACTGTGAGACCAGTGCCAGAATAACCTGGAGACCCAAGGGACCCACCTGTGAGTTTGTCACAGCCCACAGTAGAGACAGCACTCCCACAGGAGACTGGTTCCCACGGAGGAGGGGTTGCCGAGTGAACAGCTGAACGTGGCCACTTGGCCCCTGAGAGCTCTCTCCATGGCCCCGTGGACCACTGCGGAGCTGGGGCTGCCCCAGGATCAGATGCACCAGGCTCAATCTTCACCTTTCCAAGGGACACAGAGGAAGCAGTGGAAGGAAGCCGTCCAGCGGGAAGCCTGAACTCAGCACCCTGCTTGCCATTTTACTACCTGTGTGACCTCTGAATTGTTTAGCCCCTCACCCTGTTTTCCTTGGTAAGACTGGAGGGGTACTGCCCGTCTCGGGGACAGTTGCAAGGGCTGACGAGAGGCCTCTGCACTCTGGTATCTGCTAGGAAAAGACCAGTTCCCTGAAGTGGAAGGAAAGTGTGGTTTGCTCAGTGAAGATCTCATGGTTGGCATGAACACGAAGGCCCTGGAAACCCAGGGCCTGTAGCTGACAGTGGGCCCTTGGGTCATGCTGTTTTGTGGTAAATCTGTCTAGGAGGCTCTCACCTCGGGGATCACCTTGGTAGCTTAATCCAGGGACGCAGGAATCTGCAGACCAGACGGTGGTGCCAGGCGTGTGGGAAGAGAGTTCTGTTCGGCACGGCTGGAATGTCAGTGCTATTTATAGCCTGTCCTGTTTATTATTGCCTACATTCTTACGGAGCCCAAAGCCCTGGGTGCTGGTTTTTTGTTTTTTTTTTTTTTAATTTTAATTTTATTTTTTTAATGAGGGAAAAGAACAAATATTCTTGAAAATCCAAGAGAAAGACTACACCGTATCAGAAGTCCATGAAGAAGCCTTTTCCATAAATTTCACAAGAAAAGAGGCTGTTCTCCTGGGGGAGTTCCCCGGGTGTGGGACCCACATGCTGGGTCCATGAACCTGGGAGACCTCTATGACAAAATGAGGCTCTTCAGATCCCCTCAGGAGGGGCAGAGGACAGAAGCGGAGTCACTCACTCACAGAAAATCTGAGTTGGAAGGGCCACCCTCTACGTGATACCCACCGAGTCATCACACTGGGGCCAAGATGACCTGAGACCTGGTCTTGTCAGACCTTTGACTTTCCACCCTTCACACTCACATCCATGGCTCAGTTTTATTTGAAATGCTGGTTGTGCCCGTAATTGGCAAAACAAGACTAATACACTCAGACCACTCTCCCTCCCAGCTCAGCCCCCTGTGAGGAGTTTGAAGGACACGTCCCACATGGCTGCCCCCAGGCCTGATGCCAGCATTTTCGGTAGTGGCTGAATACCAGACCCTCAAGCCTGGGACCTACAGTGGCGTGTTGAACGTGACAGTGACAGTGACAGTGACAGTGCCAGCCTTGTAGGGAGTGAAGCAGGCAGGCCACCGCCTCCAGTTACTAAGTTCCTGACTTTATAGGTCTTGCTCAAGCTGGATGTGAGGCATCTTTCCCTGTGGGCTCCCTGGAGATGTGTTGGCCTTACCAGCCTCGTGGGAGACCCCTGGGGGTACCGCCTTCTGACCCTTAGCAGAGCCTTCCCTGCTGAGCTCTCTGGGCCCCCCAAGATTCTCCACATAGAAAGGGGGGCTTTCTTCTCTCCCCAGTGACCAGGAGATCTCTCGCTCCCTTGCCCAATGTGTCCTGCTCCATTCTTGGAGCACAGGAAGATTTTTTTTCCCTAACAGTCCAAGGCTCCTCCCCTCTGTCACATCCTCCAGTGCATCTAAGGATTTGCTCTTCAAAATTTACCCTCCTTTTTCAAAAATTTGTCCTTGTTAATATGATCATAGTGTTTTGAGAATTAAATAATGCATATAAATCACTTAGAATAGGACCTAGTACAAAGTAAGCTCCCCCCAAAATTAGTTGTTTTTAAGTATCTTCACATTTGAATGATATATATACCATGTTGTACAATGCTTTTCCTATACATTATGTTATCGAAGCTGGATATGTATTCATCCCTGATTTTAGACAAGGAAGTTGAACTTCAGAGGAGTAAAACTGTTTGCCCAAATTCACAGAACTTTCCTGAAACCAAATGTCATTGGTTTTATACCAAATAGTAAGCGCCACCTACACAATGTTTCCTTATAATTTGTGGAAACGTCTGAGGTAATCCATACACAATTCCACAGTCTTCTGTGGCACCTGAACTACATTAGCCACTGTCTTGCGTTCACGCTTCTTGTATGTATGTGTTGTGGAAAGCAGTTAGTTTGTTTGGTGTATCTGACAGGGAAGTACTTCCAATAGTATATATTGCTCCCAAAATTCACTATTTCTTCGTTTTCATCAAGATACAGTTTAATGCTCTGCAAATAGCTGTACGTCCATTCTTTAAAGACCCCTGAGGCCACCACCTAATGAGCTGGTACAGTGACTGACAGTGCATTTATTAGCAAGCCCTCCTTCTGGAAATCCTTATCTCCTGGGCTTCACCTTGAAACCCTTTCTTCCTCTGCTGCCCCTGGGGACATGGTGACATTATTGGGCAGCAGCTTCCTCCTAATGACCTTGTTTTTGTCTTGCCTAGTTCAGAGGAGGAAGCTTCTCCTAATGATCTTTTCTTCAGGATATGGTTTGTGAGTTTGAAATCCACGTCCCGCCCCCCTTTCATTGGCAAAACAAGTGAACAGCCACATTATTGAAAGCTACCGGGAGTGGGAAGCCTACCTTTGTGCAGGTGGTTTACATTAAAAGTATTTATCCCATATGGCCCACCCAGAAGGCTGCKTTGTCCAAGTTCTCGTTCTCCTCATTTTAGAATATGTCCTACTTAATTCAGCAACAACCTTGTGTGAGCAACATGGCCCTTGGGATCATGCCACTTGCTTACTCTCGATCACGGCAGAAGGTCCCTGGAACCGTGAGCGGTGGCACACAGGGTCTGTGCAGCATGTGCCTGCATATTTGCTCTCTGATCTGAGTAGTCGTAACCATGATCACAGCTCCTGATGCCAACCGATTGGAGGGACAGCTGCAGTTAGTGTTGTGATATTGGTTTCTCTGGGTGTATTTTACTGCTGTGTCCCTGTGGAGACATTTCAATCCCCGTCAGTGATTTTATTCATGTGTATCCATGCACCTGAGACTCTGAGGCTCCTGGGAACCACCTCAGTTTCTTAGGAATCTTGTTTGAGAGCCGTCTCCTCCCCCATAGTCAGACTTCTCCAYATGTTGCTTCTCTTTAAGTCTCTCTGTTCTCTTTTCCAGGTACTGCCACTAAACTTCCTTAGAGGACAGGGCTTTATTTGGCAGGCAGGGGATGGGGTATGTTTTTCTTAATTACAGTTGTACTCTTAGTTTGGAGTCTGAACTCCTCTGCTTTAGTGGTCCAGTTTCCCTATGGGACATCCTAGCTGGGAGCTGACAGAGTTCCCTCACCTCTCCCTGACCTCAAAGGACTTGCAATAATGGAGGCCAGTCTCCTGCTGCTTTCCTGCAGAGCTCAGGGACTCAGAATGGCTGGATGTCTTTCTCATTTAATCCCGAGTCATGTCTTCCTTTTTAGTTAGCTGTTTTTTCCTATTTTGTGTTTTACATAAATCTTTACCACCCCATGTTCCTCATTTGCTTCCATAGTGACTTGTCCTGATGGGGTAGTTCCCCATCAGTCTCGGTTCCATGGCAGGGAAGACTTTTGTCTTCTATAAACATTCTGCTTTTGCCATAAGCTGGGCCTTCTATCCCCAAAGCCCCTTCCTCTAGGAGTATCTTTGGGCCCTTTCACTGGCGGAGCATGTGGACACCATCGTTCCAAGAGACATGGCCACCTTGAACAGTACGACTCCACAGCCTGAGGCCCCCAAAGAGTCCTTCAAATGATCCTGAGCTGTGGGCTTGGAATTTAAACAGATTCCAGATTGCAACTCATTCATGAGAGCAAAGATAGAGAAGAGAATTGATCTCATTTGCAAAGCTGACAGMATTAGCTCTTATTTAGGCTTCTTCTAGGTAGACCACGACATGGCTTTTATTCTCRGTGCTTTCCTAGTGTTGGTTTTTTCTGGCTACTTAAATAAAGTGCCAGAAAAAGGGGCTTACACAACAGAAATCTGTTGTTTCATGTTTCTGGAAGCTGCAAGCCCAAGATCCAGGGCTTTCTGCCTTCTGTGAAGTGTGAGAACTTGTCCCCTGGCTGTGTCCCAGGCTTCTGGTCATCTGCAGTGTTTGACTTTCCTTGGTGTGTAGAAGCARCACACCAAGCACTGCCTTTGTCTTCCTGTGATGTCATCCCARTGCACCTGTCTGTCTCCAAGTGTCCTCCTTTTATAAAGATGCCAGTCGTATTGGATTAGGGGACTCTCCTCCCATGTGACCTCAWCTAATTTGGCTAACCATATCTGCARTAATCCTATTACTRCAKATCATAGTCACATTTTAAGGTACTGAGGATCAGCACTTCAACACATGATTTTTGTGGGGGACACARTTCAACCC